TAAGAGCTCGTTCAAATACTGAGGTGCTAAACCATTCAGGGCTTTATAAGTAATAAGCAAGATTTTAAAATCTATACTGTGTTTAATAGGGAGCCAGTGGAGTGTTGACAGAACCGGGCTAATATGGTCATACTTCCTTTAGGTTTGGACATCTTCCTTTAGAAGAAACATTTTAGAAACAAGTTTTTTTTTTTCATCAGTGCAGCAGAAAAACAAGGTAACAATAGTACACAACATTACCGTATTCATTTAACCACAAAGACCATAGGACTGAAAAACAATAGTAATAATAATAATAGTAATAATAATTAAATTTTCTATAGTGCCTTTAAAGGAGCTTCTCAAAGCACTTTACAATGTAAAAGTATACATATAAAATTAAGACAGGAATACAGAATAAACAAAAGAGCACAGGAACATAAAATAAACAAGAAACAGCAATGAAAATTACAATCAACAATAAGGTTGCTATAAAAAAAAAAAGTTTATAATTAACTAAACTTCAGATGTGCCACATAGTGGTTGACAGAACGCATTTGTCCATGTAAGCATTTACACTATGGCTGACAGTTAAACTGTGCCAAATGCCTTGCCCACAGAAGAATGAAATTCATATGCGTTTTCAATGATTTAAAGCATTACGGTTCATGCACACTGGCATGGAGTGAACAGAGCAGAGCAGAGCAATTTTAACTTTGCATAAATGCTTAAATCATACCTCTAAATCTGGCTCAGCCACTGGTGTCTGCAACATTCCAATGTGCCCATGTTCTGGTGAAAGATTTCCCTCTGTTCTGATGGGATGGTTGTTCCAGCTACCCATGAAGCACTTCAAGTCAAATTTCAGTTGTGGAAGAATGGCAGTGCACACAAGAGAGGTGCAGATCATCTGACAAATCAAGCACTCTCTCTTCTTCCATTGTAGGCAGTACTTCATAGTACTTACAAGAGACAGCTGACCAAACATCGCACCATAGACGCTCAATTCTAAAATAAAAAGACACATTAGTATGGTCAAAACATAGCTTACAAAAAAGCAAACAGTTTGTCCATAGTAAATCATTTGAAGTATTATAGTATCCCAAATTAGTGGCGTATCAACATTAGGGGCAGGTAGGCTGAAGACCACCAGATGTGGTGCAGTTGTGCACTTTTAGAGTGTTAGTTCACACAAAAATGACAATTCTGTCAACATTTACTCACCCTCATGTCTTTGATTTGTTTCCTTTAACATACTTTCTGTGCATTAATGTTAAAAATGCTTTAAATAAACAGTGCCATTAGAAATCTGAAATTATTGTTACTCCTAAAAGTGGATATGTTTTCAGTAAACACTGAAGTACTGAAAGAGAGAAATGTCAATAAACCTGCAAAGTCTAAGGTGGTTTTGTTCAGTTTTGTTTTTCTTTATGGCACAAATATTATTTACTGTGATGTTTGTCTTCAAAATTAGCTAAAAATGTATTCATGGGGATTAATCCTTAGGACGGTTGACTTAATTTTTGAAGACCTGGCAACCTGTACACGTAAAACTAAATCTTTCAGGAAGTAAAGCAAGGGTTTCATGTTTCACTAATGTGGCATTTAAGGTGTGACATATCATTGGCAAAAACTCAAGAAAAGACTGAAAGGTACGTTTCAGCACCTAAGTTGACAGACTATTCATGTTGTAAACATAGTAGAAGCCATTTTTGAGTTCAGTAAGTATTTCCTTATAGTTTATGGGTCATGGTGTCAAAGTGTGCTAACATCTACGCAACCAGGAATAGTCTACAATTTCATTGTTTCATTTTGATTTTGATTACTCTTAAAACATGTCACATTTGAATTAACCAATAGTGATTTGTGCCAAAATATTATTAAAAAAATGCTTTAAATTGCATGACGTGGACTAAATAATGAAAATAGCAGTAAAAGCCCAGAATAGAGTGTTCCCAGGCTGTTAAAAAGTGCATTTTTAAAAATTCTAGGCAAAGGGTGGCTTTGAACATGCTAAAATATAACATAACTTAGATTTATTTTGAATTTGCAATTCATAACAAAATTTCCACAGCTTCATATGTAGTATTGTATTGTTTTAATGAATTTACTATCATTCTAAATTGTGGGGTACATTTAACTGTTAAATCATATTCATTTATGATTTCAATAGTATTCAAATACAGTTAACACCTCCTACCTGAGGAATGAAAGAATTGAAATAATTGGGAGTCGACAACTTGGGGGAATAGAAGGAAGTGGAAAAAGTTCAGCTGGAAACATCATTTGGGGAGAAATGCTTTTGATGTTGGGAGAAGAACAAGCTGCAGGAGATGTGCATGGTATAACAGTCCTCTTGAAAAGACATCAGAGCTGGACAAATTAGAGATTGAAAATAGCATATGTCCACTGGGTATTGACTGTTCCCATTGAAACAATATTTAACAAGTCTTCTCAAACCGCTGTGGAAGAACATATGAGTCTTCTGAGGAAGAAGGTCTGGAATCATACAGTTGTGCTGTTTACCAGAGGAGACTGTCTTGGAGATACAACCATTGAGGGACATATTGAAAATGAGGGAATGCAACTGCAGTGGCTTATTAAAAAGTGTGGGAGCAGATATCATGTCTTTAACTGTAAGCAGAACACTGACAACACACAAGTCTTGGAACTGCTTGCAAAAATTGAGGAAATCATGATGGAGAACAATGGTTGTCATTATGTACCAGAAACAGACAGCAATCCATCCACAGAGCTTGAGCCAAAGATGATAATTGCCAAAAGAAACATGATGAAAGTGAGGAGGCAAAGAGATATCCTTCAAGAGCTGCTAAAGGGTGAGTGAACTGCATTGTTGTTAATAATACATCCAACAGCAGCATAAGTAATTATCTAAAGATAATACATATTCTATCAATTTCTTTACATTAGAAAGGAAATACACTCTCTCAGATGTGAGGATTGTGCTTCTCGGAGGAATTTTGCAAGGACATTTCTCTGAGAAGACGCCAGAAGAGGTCAATTTTCCCACAATTTGGAAACAACATTGTCATTAATGTCACAATAGTGGTTGTTTAATTCCTATACATCCTTTATATTATAATTATTTTCATAATTTTATAATTATTTTTATTCTATCTAGGATTTTAATATCCGCACAAGAACAATGCAATGTGTGATGAAACAGGGGCAAATTGAAGGATATCAGGTCTCAGTGGTGGACACAACAGGCTGGTCCACATCAACTCTGGAAAATGCAAAAGAAATCGTACACATTGTGACAGTTTGTTCTCCAGGACCTCATGCATTCTTGCTAGTGTTGCCTGTACATGAATCGTTTACAAAAAGATCTGAACAAACAGTGGAGGAGAAACATACTATAATATTATTCACTTATGGACAGTGTTGGGGGTAACGCATTACAAGTAACGCGAATTACGTAATCACTTTTTTCAAGTAATGAGTAAAGTAACACATTACTTTTTAATTTACAAGAGAATATCTGAGTTACTTTTTCAAATAAGGAACGCAAGTTACTTTTTTTTCCAATTTACTGATTGACAGCTCTCCTGTCCCCATGTTCTAAAATAAATATGAATATGCATTAATTAATCTCACTCACAAAAAACAGATTCAGTATTCCTCAAAATGTTATTTTAAAATCAAACAAGCAACCCCTGTCCAGATTTAAAAAGTAATGCAAAAGTAACATAACGCATTACTTTCCATAAAAAGTAACTAAGTAATGTAATTTGTTACTTTTTTATGGAGTAACGCAATATTTGAATGCATTATTTTTAAAAGTAACTTTCCCCAACACTGGTTATGGACACTGGTTGATGGACACAACAGTTGAGGAGTACATTGCATGTGAAGGAGAAGCTCTACAATAGTTGATAGAAAGAAAGTGTGGAAACAGATATCATATGCTAAATAATGACTGGACAAATAGATTTCAAGTGAAAAATCTACTCAACAAATGGTGGCTAGAAACAGAGGTGAATATTTTACTCTAGAAAACAAAGCAAGCAAGCCAGCAGCAGTGCATCAGATGTTTAATGAGACCATGGAAGAGGAGTGGAAAAAACATGACGATGAGCTCATAGAGAGGATGTTGGAGGCAGCAACAGTGGATCAGTGCCCTGACTACTGAACTAGGGAGCTGATTGAGATGCACCCAATGTTGGTGTCAGTGTTCCGGACAATGTCAGTGGCACTGGAACATTTCACAGGATTTAAGTGACAAATGCCACTATCCACATGCACATGACAATAGAGACTGGATGTGACACTAAGCATAGCGACATGTGCCATTGTCTTCTGTGTTCAGATGCCATGTCACTTAATGTTAATACTGCTACTGGTTGGTTTTAACATTTTTTTAATTATTTGTATAAAGAGTGTAAATATTGTATGAAGAATTTTGATGAATTAGATTTTATGTGTTCATTAGCACTATAATACATAGAATTTGTTTTTATTCATGATGGGTTTTAAGGTTTTTGAAATAAGTGAAATAAGTGGAATTTAACTGAGTTAAACCTGATATTACACAAAGCAAACACTGATACACTGAGGATTCTTTACTGCTTAATAAAAGGGTCAATATCACGGTAGGGTGCCTTTTGCTGTCCTGTACATAACTAATTGAAAATGACTATGAAAGGGTGTGTTATATTAGGCTAAGTTTTTATATTCATAACAAAAGCATTACTTGGCTCTTTAGATACATTTTCTAGATTTTTTTTAGTTTTGTATAAGAGGATGCTTGTTATTTTGCCATGTCCCATGCACTGCTCGTTAAATTTGAATGAGAGTAGAATATAGTCAAATCATAAAATAAATTTTTTTTGTTCTCTATTAATATTTTGTTACATTTTTGTTAAACTAAATTTGAGTGTATTGATCATTTGGTAATAAAAACAATATTTTTATTTAATAAAAAAGAAGAGTTTGTCCATGTCTCTTGAATGGTTGTCTACCCTGTCGTGTTGGGAAATCCGCCCCTTTAAGAAAAGGCCATCCAATTAGTGGCATCAGGACAACAGATTTTTTTGTCTCTTCAGTGGCGGGAATTTCAACGGCTGAGGTGAGTAAGTTGGTGACTTTTCAATTGACAAATTTTCTTCGTATGAGTTTGCTTACTTGCTTTGCCAAAGCTTAACATGTCCACCCTGTCGCCATAAAATATGCCAGAAGTGATTAGAATACAGTATTTTCAAAATATGTAAGTTTAAATATACCAAATTCTCTTCAGCATCCAGACTAACTATTTAGCTAGTCACACTTTGTTGTAAGCTAATATGCTAATTGAAGCTCAAAATGTCCACCCTGTTGTTGTTCCAAAATGTCCACCCTGTCGGCCACTTAGACATGACAGGGTGGACACAGCATTTATTTGTAGATAATATTGCAATTTATAGAAATTTAATATTGTAATTTAAAGAAAGATCTGCTGTAGATAATATTTTGTAATTTATTAAAACATAAAATCATTGCTCTTTCTCAGGAAATGCCTCTGAGTGCAGCAGAAATTGCACGGCAATACAGAAAACGTCGGGATGCAAACCCCGAACGAAGAGAAGCATACCTTAAGACAGAAAGGGAGAAATGGAGGAAAGATAGAGATACAGGGAAGAAGAAAGGTATTAATGACCTCACTGAGAGAGGAAAATGTGCTCAAAGGAAAAAATGGAGGGAGGCGAAGAAAGCTGCCAGAGCTAAAGCCGGGACAACAGTGGAGTTGTTATTGTTATTGTTTGTGAATGTATATCTAGATTTCTTTTCAGAAGTGTGTTTCGCTCTGTTCATAATGTGGTGTTTACATGGAGTTTTTAGTTAAGATGTACTGAATCGATATGAATTAAACTAACAGAAAGGGAGAAATGGAGGAAATATAGAGATACAGGGAAGAAGAAAGGTATTAATGACCTCACTGAGAGAGGAAAATGTGCTCAAAGGAAAAAATGGAGGGAGGCGAAGAAAGCTGCCAGAGCTAAAGCCGGGACAACAGTGGAGTTGTTATTGTTATTGTTTGTGAATGTATATCTAGATTTCTTTTCAGAAGTGTGTTTCGCTCTGTTCATAATGTGGTGTTTACATGGAGTTTTTATTTAAGATGTACTGAATCGATATGAATTAAACTAAAATAAAATCAATGGAGGGGGGTCTGGGGTATATCAATGTAATTGAGAATGTAATTTTATTATTTTTTCGAAGTTAAATAAATGTTTCTTTGTCATTTTTTGTCATGCTTTGTGTGTTCTGCTTTGTGTGTCCACCCTGTCATGTGCTGGTCCTCCCTGTCATCTTGATATTTAAAAATAATATTTTAAATAATAATTCAATCATATCTATATAATCCAGTGTGTTCAATAGCTAGGTGTTGGGGCAATAACATGCAAACAAAAAACTTCATCCAAATATCACAGTTTTCTACAAATAAGAAAAAATGCATGTGTGAATTGTATGAGTTTCTTTAAAAGCGCATGGTTTACATAAAATATTTTATGTATTTATAATTTGAAGGCAAACAAATAACCCTGTTTAGGAAAGGGACATCATACCTTTCAGAAAGTATAATTTGCATCTTAATATTGCAATGAAAACGTATTTAACAGTAATATATATGTCCATGACGGGGTAGACATATTTTATGGTTTATGCTTCAAATAATGGCCCATAATTATCTAAAAAAAAAATGTGTCGGAGCTCAGCTAATATGTTTCTATAGCATTTGAGTGTCTACTATTTATGACATGACATAAAGCGAATGGGAATTTAAAACCAAAACTTTTGAGTATTGTGAGGGTTGAAATGCACTCTATGGTGATATTGACCCAAAATTAAAGAATATTTGCTTGATTTATGTTATCCTTGTATTTTGTCACGATTCGCTGTGGGAGGAATGCTGTGGGAGGAATGCTGTGGGAGGAACGAGAGAAACGTGGAGTACAAGCAAAAGTCTTTAATCCAGGAATCACAGGGGATAATCCACAACAGGAACACAGGAAACACAAGACAGGAACACAGGAACAGAAACGGGGGCAAAACATAAAACAGGTCCATCATCCTGACATATTGCCCCCCTCCCGGAAGGCGGGTCCTCGCGCCGTAGAACAACAGAGGGGGGGGGCATGGGTGGGAACTTGGGAGGCGGCTCAGGAGAAGGACGGACAGCCGGGAGGGGTCCGGCAGACAGAGACCAGGGAGGTGACGATGGAGGGAGGAGCCAGGGAGAAAACAGGAAGAACTTGGAGCAGGAGGAGCCAAGCAGGACCCAGGCCACAGCCATGATGGCGACCCATGGTGGAGCCGAAGGAGGGAGGAGCCATGGAGGAGGAATTGCCGCCGACTCCAGGGGGCCAGCCAACAGCGGCGGAGCAGGTGGTGGAGGAGCCCAAGGCGGAGACGGAGCGCCAACGAGCCAGGGTGAAGTCGAGGGCTCTGGCGACCATGCGGTGGTGGAGATCCAGAGATCCGCGGCGGAGCCGGAGCAACTGAGGACCAAGGTGGAT